CAGATACAGGTTAACAAGGGAATTGTTTCGATCTGCAATGAAGTGGTGCACGCGAGAAAAGGGTGTTTGCCTTTATTTACGATTAATGTCTTCTGAAAATTAGGATTAATAGCCTGTAGCACTAATGCTTCCTATATAATTACTTCACACTCGCAACACTTTCTATCATTATTTTGCATTATTTCTGAACAAGTTTTGAAGAATAAAATATCAAATAAGTATAAATCAATAAATATAATTTGCAATTGAGTTTGATTAAAAATCGAATGGAAAAAAATTGAATGATCTCACCGCTAATTTCATAATTACAACGATGTGTATCTGCAAATTAAAAATACCTCTTCTCTTAAACGCGAAATTGCATATCTTTTGTACATCGATTGATTCTTCCAAGTATTCTGCGTAAAATAGTGTTTGAATATTACATTATTGAAAGGATCAATATTTCGTGAGATATTTCAGATTTTTGATAAGTTGCGAGTTTACTGAAGATATTAGAATCCTTTTACCTTCGCATAGCAAGCATCTTGTAAATTATTTCTTTATATTTTTTGTAACAGTATCGATACGATAATTTATCTGCTAATCATCAAAACATTACAATACATTATAATTTTGAAAATCGTCGAACATAATAATTCACTGTAGTGTACACGTTTTATAATATTCTTCTGAAGTGATTGCCAAATGACGAACGATTTTCTTTAATTGGTTGGAGATAAGCGTAATGTACATAATTTTACTCCGCTGTACAGTTTCTGTATCAGTTTCCCCTACTTTGGTAGCATCACATGTGTTAAAATCTTTCTCTCATTTTCGTACTGAAACTTGATTAAAATTGGAACAACATCGTACTACAAATAATTGCTCTTCTCTGTACGAAAATGGAACGAAGAAATTCTATGGAAATAGATGTTGTCTATAAATTTCACGTAACGTAGTGGAGAGACGTCGTTGGCTTAGAGTAGATCGCATCGGCAAAGAATCCACAGCGTCGCCGCATAAAGAGAAGGAAATATCGGTTTTCGATAACGCGCCACGGAAATGAATTTGCGTTCTAATCGCTGTATCGAATTGGCTGGGACGCTTTGACGGCTTCCTCGCGAAAATTTTCCGCATGACTCCGTGGCTG